GGAGGGACAGCCCCTGCCTGCTGGGGGGACAGAGGGCACGGCTGGACATGGCCACTGGTGTCGTGTGCTGCCACGCCAGCAGGAAAAACAGAGACACGGCCAGAGCCAGCCCCGCAGGTGCCATCCCCCTGATAAGTCCCACGGGTGACAGGAGGTCTTCCACCCAGGCGTTAGTTTTGGGTTAAATAGCCAAGGATGGAGGGCTCTGCTTCGGCAGTCCAGGCTCAACAGGGTGCCCAGGGCCCTGGTGTTACTGTGTTAGTGGTGTTAGCTGGGATATTGCCCCTGGGAAGGGTGCAAGGGACATCTGGTCTTCCCTGCTGGCCACAAGTGGTCCCAGTGGGGTGACAGAGATGGAGGTGCCCTCTCCTCTGCCCCGACGTAGGAGCTCTTTGGCATCCTGTGTCCCAAGCAGAGCCCGTCCATGCAGCTGGGATGTGCTGGTGGAGCCAGAGACAATTCCAGCCTGCAGAAAGGAGATGAGGCTTCCCCAAATCTGCTGCCTTCTCCCAGGCAGAGAAACTATCTTCCACCGTAAGCTCAGAGAAGAGGCAAAACCTGAACAAGGACCCCTCCAAATCCAAGAAGCTGGGTCCAAGCAGGTCTGATGGGTCCCTGGCAGGTCCCCTGCCCACCCTCCTGCCCAGCATGATGGGACAGGACCTCCTGCTTCTCAGCTGCTCTCTTCAGGAACTTGACCTGGGATGGGGAAACCCACCTTGGTCTGGTCCAGCCTGTTCCTGGGGCTGGGGCTGATGCAGCTGGTGTGGGTCTCCAGAGTGCAAGTTGCTCTCTGGAGGAACTGCAAGAAGTTTTCCTGGACAGAAGCCTCTGAGACAGAAAGACAGAGCTCCTGGCCCAGCGGCTGGTTGAGACAGCTGCGCCGGAGCCGGGCCAGCTCCTCCCGGATCTGGCGATTCAGCAGCCCATAGAAGAAGGGATTGATGGCGAAGGAGGAATAGGCAATCCAGGTGACCACCATCTCCCCATGCCCACCATCCACTGTGCCAGCAGCGACAGAGGAGTGCAAGTGGAAAGCGAAGAAGGGCAGCCAGCAGCACAAGAACTGTCCCACAATGAGGACCAAGGTGAGGATGGCCTTGTTGCTTCCCAAAAAGCGCTCTGGTGTCAACCTGGGCAGCGGCAGGTTCCTGGTGGTGATGATGGTCACCTGGCTGGCGATGGAGTCACATCGGTGTCTGGGCGCAACTGCCTGTGCCTGCGCAGGCACGTGCTGCAAGGATGCCATCCGGGCCACGCGGTAGACACTGCAGTAGACAGCAAAGATGATGATGGTGGGCAGAACAAAGCAGACGATGCTGAAGATGATCACAAAAACCTTCTTGTGGGCCCCAGGGCTCCAGTAGACTGTGCAGCGGCTGGCACTGGTGGCACCGTTGCCTTGAGGCCAGCCCACCAGTGCCAAGACAGTGATGAGAACAGACTTGACCCAAATGAAGATCACTCCGACCACTGCCAGCCTGATGGTCATCTTGACCTCATACCTCATGGGGTGGACAATGTAGTAGTACCGCTCCACACTGATGATGGAGATGGTGAGGATGGAGGCACTGATGAAGCAGACATTCAGGAATATCAAGGCCTGGCACTCAGCAATGCTGTAGATCACCCTGCTGAAGCAGGAGGAGCTGGAGATGATCCCCAGGGGCATGAGGAAAATGGCAGAGAGGAGGTCGACCACACAGAGGTGGCAGACAAAGATGAACTTCCTGAGAAGGGGGGTTTTGAGAATGACAACCATCACCACGGTGTTTGCCACCAGGGCAGTGAGGGTGAGCAGGACCATGCAGAGGAGGCCCACCA